GACAGTGCCCCCATTATAGCTTTTAGACCAATGGTTAGCGCACTCATCTGGGATGTAGGAGACCCAGGTTCAATTCCCCCCTCCAACTGAAAGGGAGAAAGGATTTGACGAGTAGTCTCCCACCTCTCAGGAGAGAATTCTTAACCACTGAAATGTGAAATATTCTGACATGGGACTCCCTCAGTATCTCCTGTTGAGCCTAACTCTGGCTTTGTGGATTGCATTGTGGTTCCAATGATTTTCTAGGCACCTAAAAGTTAGGCATTGCAACACCTCAGTTCCTTTGTGGATCTAGATCTTCTAGAGCATAGTACAGAAAACTGGACTAGAATACAGAAGTGAACATGCCATGGAGAGGCTTAGCATGTACAGAAGGTATTCATTTTTATGTATGAAGAGAAGACAGGATTCAGAAAATATATGTTGGTTTACACACATAATCTGCACCCCATGTCTAGTCTAGTGGGAAGTAGAGGGTGGAGGCCATGGGCTATCATTATTAGACCAACAACTGGAGAAGAGAATAACCTTTGCTCTAGCAATAGCAAAAATTTTAGGTATGTAAGAAGTTAGGCGTGGCAGTCAGAGAAAAAAGGTGTAGGCACAAATGGGACAATCAGTGTGGGTGAGAGTTGCAAAATCTGGTTCATGTTGTACTGCATTCAAATATACGGATCATCAGGATGTTTAAAATTACAACCCCATCTACAGTTCCTATTTTGTTTTCTTCTAAATTAGATTATGAACTACTCACGGCAGGAACTGTCTCTTCCCGTGTATTCAAATAGTGCCTGGCCCCTATTGGGACCCAGTCCTGATAAGGGACTGTGGATGCTACTGTAATAAAAATAATAAGAATAATTTGCCAGGGCAACCAATTTGCAATACACTCCTTGGATTAGACCAAGTTCCACTCTCAGGTACAGATGCAGTAGGAGTTGTTGCACCCATGTAACAGAGCTGAATTTGGCCCATTATCTTTAAGAGTGGTCTAACACACTATCTTCTTTGTCCTTTATCATTTATTTTATGGCTGTGAGAGTGTAAGAGATAAACTCCTATTGCTTTGATTCTCACTGCGTTGGCTCATGTACAGTTGGTTCTTTGAAGTTCCTTTCTTTTCGAGTTATGGGGTTTCTGTCAAGAGGTGGCAATGTGCTCCCAGCAGAGACACTGCATGAATACAGTTAAATGGAGCATTAGAAATACGTGCAAGACTGAGTCAAAAATAAATAAGCTTCTTAACAAACACAAACTGTTTGTTTAATAGTTTCAAGAAAACTGAAATATTCCTCCAGAGAAAATGCAAGAGATGCAGAGCAACACAACAACTCTATTTTATTTTTTTAACAAAAGCAAAAATAAAATAAAATAAAAATTTGTTCCATTGATATTCTCAAGCACTGGTGCTCCTCTGCCCCTGCCTACTCTCTGACCATGGCACATAGTAGTCTAGTCTCTTTTAGGTCTCCTTTCCCTTGTTGGATTTAGTGTGCGGGTGCTGGCTGGTAACCTGTGATATACAGGAGGTCAGACTAGATTACCTAATGGTCCCTTCTGGGCTTAAACTCTATGGAGATTATGTTTATTCATACACACAGCATCCTGCTCCAAATTTACAGTTTATCATCCCATCTGTAGTAGGTTTGCAGTGCGTAGAAATGGAATTATTTGTATGCCACTGTACCTTCACCACTAATGCCTACATTTCTAAAGCACTCTGATGACTGCTGATGAGTGTCATAGAAATGCCTATGCATAAAATAAATAATCATTTCACCTCATTAAGTGAAGCATATGGACTCAATAAGGATGATTTCCCTTTGTACATTGCCTTTGTAAATTATATCATTTCGCGACAGTGGAAGTAACACTGCTGTGATGGCACTTAAATAGTGAGACTGTCAAGAGTCTTGTCAACATTTCAGCTTTGAGCAGCTTGGGTTTTTGCATGAATCTCTTTTTTTTTGGAAAATAAACCACGGTTTGTCAGAATTATGCCTTCAAAGACTTCTTTCTGATAGCTTGTGGGAAGGTCAGAATTGATGGTGGACTATGAGACAGTGGATCATACCAGCCAACAACTGCACCCACAGCAGAAAATTTTGGTTCTTTTTAGCAACCGTGGGAACAAATTTAGGTGGGAAACTTCAAATACAGTTTAACAGACTAAAACACAAACACTGAAGAAATCTTTAAATGAAACCAAAACATACTGGGCCACATTTTTCCCTGGTGTAGAGCTCTATTAATAAATGATGTAACAACCAACTATTAGATATTACATTATCGTTGTCAGATTGCAAATGATCTCATTTTTCTTTTTATTTCTTCAAAAATACATCACCACATGTCCCTTCATATACAGTGGAACTGGTATGTGAGAGAGAGATGCATCTTTTCTCAGGCAGCTAGTAAAATGTGTGTTCCAGGGGAATGGTGGAGAGTACATATAGAGAAATCCTTAAGTCCTTAGTCAGTGAGTCAAACTCTCACTGAAGTCATTGAGAGCTTTCCAGAGCAAGGACTGAGTAAATTTTCAGGGCCAGATTGTGATACTTTTAGTCACATTGAGTAGAACTTTCCTCCACCAGCAGTCCAATTGAAGTCAATGGTGGATAAGGGTATCATTCACTGTGAGAAAAGTTATCAGATTCTGGCACTAAGAATTTAAGGCCACTTTTTACTACTGAATTCAAGAGCATGTGTATATTTTGACAGCCAAGGACATTGGCATGTGCTAGGGAAAGATAAATGACATCAGGCCTAATCCTACAAACCCTTACTCACATCAATAGTTCAATGTATAGCAGGGGCTTCAGCGCTGCAGACTGTACAGCATAAATTCCTGTAGGGGGCTCCAACGAGCAGCAGGACTTGGCTAACACAACAGCCAGAAGCACTTTCAAAGCTTCTGGTGGGAGTGAGCATATTACTTTGGACAACTGAGGCAAGTTACAGTGTCCAACCTAAAACTCTGACCCAGAGGCCTGACTGTATTGAACTCAATGGCTCTACTCGTGTGAGTAAGGAATACTCCATGAGTAAGAGTTTGCAGGTTCCATAGATTTCAAACCCCTTCATTTATCATGTGACTATGAGAAAGAGATGCACAACACTGATGTGTTTTACACACACACACACACACACACAAAAGTGTACCATTCTGGATTGTGGTTAATGGGTCAGACGGCACCCCTTCTCCTTCCTCCACTCCTCCCATCTCTCCCTCACTTCTAGCCTTTCACCTACAACACTAGCTGTCCCTGTTTATTTGACAATACGTTGTTGGGTCTTCGGCATGGTGATAGGAGGGTGCTTTACCAAAGTATAAACCATCATGTCTCATGAGTGGCGAATGCTTGGCTGACCCAAATCTAAAGAAAAGTTTTGACCAACCAAGGAAAAAGTCTCATTTTGAAGCAATAATAAATAATGAATTACACAGGTGAGAACACCGAAATTGAGACAAAGCAGTTAATCTGGGCTGATATTCAGTATGATCCTTTACATTCTAAACCCAAGGAACAGATATGGGCTAACATACATTACGGACAGACATAACATTCTTTACCTGAAAAATTGACCATTTCGTTCATTAAAATGTATACATTGCTCAAGTAGATTATGTACCTTCTTGCTTATGTTTCAAGAGACAATATGTACAGGGCCGGCTCCAGCATTTCTGCCGCCCCAAGCAAAAAAAAAAAAAGCCGCGATCGCAATTGCAATCGGCGGCGGCAATTGGGGAAAAAAAAAAAGAACGCCGCGATCGGCGGC